AATCATCTGTTTTCTATCCCTGGACTCTATCTTATTTTTGCACATATGACCTGGGGCCTCTGACAAGATCTTTCCAGTAGGCATTGGCCTCGCCCTAATGTTAATCAGTCAGGCTGTTTTCCCAGGCCACCCCAGGTGCAGCTTTTCCCCTGTCAGCTGTAGACTTATCACTCCTTTCGTCCCATGCAAGTAACAGTCTCCAAGATGACCATTGAACAAGACAAGTGGCCAGTTCACACCTTCTCTTCAGGTCAAGTCGTAATCTAATCTTATTTCTATTTAGCAGATAATGCCCTTCAAAGGGGAACTCTGTAGTCTAGGAAACCCACTAGGTGATCTCTGTAAAATGATGATCATCAGCTTGATGGCCATGAGTCTGGTTTGGGTTGGGCACAGCACTTAACAGACCTTTATGGGAGATCTTCAGGTCTTTTCTTCCATGCAGTTGTTGGGTGGGTTTGAACTGTGAGCTTTTCTATTAATATCTGAAGGCTTAACCACTGCACCCACTACCCACTCAGTGATCCTTGTCAATTGATAGGGTTTTAAAACTAAATTCCAGACACTATTCTGGTAACTAAAAAGAAACAAAACAGCAGAAACATACATCCATTGCGGTCAAGTTGATTCTGACCCATGGTGAGTGCATGTGTTGCCAAGGAGAACTACTCATAGTATAGTCTTGACTGTAACCTTTATGGAGGAGACCTGGAGGCATGGTGACATACTGGTGGCTTGTGTGTTTGGGCTGTTAACTTCAAGGTTAGCAGTTTTAAAACACCAAGGGCTCTGCCAGAGAAAGATGAGGCTTTCTGTTCCTGTGAAGATTTATATTCTTGGAAGCCCACGGGGGCAGTTCTACCTTGTCCTACAGGGTTGCTATGAGTTGGAATTGACTTGATGGTAATGAGTTTGAGTTTTTGAGCATCTTTAGGGAAGAAGTTCATGAAGCCTTGCTTTCACTGAGCTTCTGGGTAGATTCTAATTGTAAACTATTTGCTACACCCAGAATTTTAGGCGAGTAACCAATTACTGACTGCCATCGAGTTCTATCCCTGTAGAAATCTCTTTAGATTTCAGAAGCTGTAAACCTTTCTGGGAGCTGACAGTCTTATCCATTTTCCATCAAGGGGCTGGTGGTTTTGAACTACTACTTTTGTGGTTAGCAGCCCAATGCACTGTGCTTGCAGGACTACTTACAGGGCAGCTAGAGATACCGATGACTTTTTCTGCTTGCATATCTAGAGTTTGGGACCTAGTAGCTAAAACATCTCTAAAGATAATTAAATGAGCAGTGTAATGAAGTATAAGATGACTGTTAGGGAATTTAGAAGGGAAAGCAAATGCACAGTAAACTCAAGAAGCGTATCAGGAATAAAGGGTGACAGGGAAGATCACTTGGAGAACACCTTTGGGGTAGGCATTGGAGTAGCTAAAGAACAGGAAGCAGTTTTTGTAAAGACAGGTTCTCTTCCCTGACTATTTCTACCCTTACGAGTACATTGGGTATAGAGGCATGCCCAAGGAAGTTGGAGGGTAAAACAAAGTCAAGGTTACAAAGATCTTTAAGTCTTGAAAAGTCAGGTATTATCGAATGGTATCGATTAAGAAGTGTTACCATTAGTTTTGGATTTTAGAAACTCATTTTGACAGCAGTGAGGAATAGGGATTAAAGGAATTAATGTAAACTAGGAAAAGAGATTCTGTTAGGTATTTTAATGACCTAAACAAGCTGTTATAATACTTTCTTCTGCAGGAATTAGTACCAGACTAATTCCAACGAGTTGAGGCTGAAGGTGTCACAGATGCCCAACTCTTCCAAAATCCTACTTTGCTCCATTTACTCCCCCACCCCTCCATTAAGCATATTCCCTCACGGCCCTGGGCTCTGTGTGTTGCTGCAACATCCCACCGAAACTCAATAAACTTTGAGGCAATGCCTCACATGGTGGTGGGTGCTGTTCAGTCCCAAATCTGAGGGTTGGGTGAATCCAAAAATGTCCAAAAGCCGCAGCAAGTCTTCTTGCTTTTACCAAAACTCAGAAATCTCAGTGAGGATAATGGAGGTCTGGCTTTCCAGGTGAGGTGATGAATGTGTGGGATTGGGTGGTGGCACCATTATATATCCAAGGAAAACAGTGTGTGTGGCCTGTTTCATGCCTGGTTCTAAGCTGGAATCTTAATGATGTCATCAAGGAAACTAAGTGTGTGGCCTGATTCTCACCCTCTACTAAACAGTGAAACCCACTGCCATTGAGTCAGTGCCTGCTCATAACAACTCGATAGGACAGGGTAGATCAGTCTGTGTGTTTCCAAGACTCTAACTCTATGAGAGTAGAAAGCCCCATCTTCCTCATCTTAATCCCATCCCATTCCTGTTCTTTAGTAGAGAAGAGAATACATTCAAGATGGGACTTTGGCCACAGGCATATAAAGTCCGGAACTATAATATTTCACATAAGGAATTATGGCTGGAAGGGCTATATTAATCGACTCTAACTTGGCAATATCAAAAGACTTGAGATGAGGTAATGTTGGCTTACATTGGCAATTGAGTCCAGACATCAAGGAGCTGATATCAGCAGAAGTTTGGACTAAATATATGAGGTAGTGGTTGGGAAAAGAAACCAATATAAAATGAATTGATCTGAATTTGTAGTGGCATAATTAGATATTGGCGGAGCCAAGAGAAGATTATTGTGGTAAAGGAAAAAAAATTTGGATGCTTTTGCTCATTAAAATGATATCCCAAAATAAATCCTACTTGTTATTGTTGATGTGTATTACCTGTCATTACATTCACTGAGGTCAGTGCACGAATCCCTGGTTTGACAGTAGTTAAGCACTCAATTGTTAACCAAAATGCCAACAGTTCAAACTCATCATCCACTCTGGGAAAAAAGATGAGGCTGTCTGCTTCTCTATTGATTCACAGTCTTGGAAACCCTATAGGGCAGTGGTTCTCAACCTTCTGAATGCTGTGACCCTTTAATACAGTTTCTCATGTAGTGGTGACTCCCAACCATAAAATTATTTTCGTTGCTACTTCATAACTGTAATTTTGCTACTGTAATAAATCGAGCAACCACTGTGAAAGGATCGTTTGACCCCCAAAGGGGTCGAGACCCATAGATTGAGAGCCCCTGCTACAGGGCATTTTGATCCTGTCCTGTACCGTCATATAAGTTAGAACTCAAGATTAGAATCCATTTGACAGCAGTGGAGTTTTGGTAGGTAGATATTTGTTAATCGTCATTTTACAGACAATGAAACTTGTCTGTCTGAGCTCACACAGAATATAAATGGCAAAGCTAAACTTTGAATTTGGAAATTGTGTCAACTAGGGTTGCTGTCACCTAGAGTGGTAATCCAGGATGTCACCTGCCACTCCCCATGAACCTCTTCTTTTACAACACTATATGAAATCCTTCAAAATCCTGACACATAGTTATCCTGCAGGACAGGGTAGAGCTGCTCCTGTGGGTGTCTTATACTATAATTCTTAGGGAATGGAAAATCTCATTTCTCCAGCAGAGCAGCAGGTGGTTTCAAACTGTTCGCCTTGCAAAAGGTTTGCAGCCCAATTGTTATGACCATGCCACCAAGACTCCCTACAGAATCCACAGTACTGTTGATTATTGTTTTTAATCTTCAGAGAATATATACTCATAGAATAAAATGTGATCATATGTATAGTTGTAAAATATTTGCATGTAATATTTTTGAGGTTATATGAGACTAACAAATTATAAATTTTTTCTGCTTTGAAAGCAACATTTTTACTTGCAACTCTGTAAGTAACTAAACAGAACCCTTTTTAATCTTTTTCTTCTTTTACCTTTAATTATATTCTCAAAAAATGTCTTGATATTTGTTCACAATACTAATTAAAATAAGGGTATAGATAAGATTCCAGAAAATTTGAGAAAATATTAACTATAAAAACAGAATTAAAAAGAGCTGCATGTACTTGTAGCTCCTGAAACTGAAACCATGTAATTGAAAGCATCTTTGTCATTGAGAAATAGTGACAGCTCTGGGAGGGTATATTAGAAAGTTTACAAATTTGGCTATAGACCTTTAATCTCAGAGAGGAGCCATGATGGTGGAGGGGTTACCCATTCAGCTGCAATTGGCCTGGTTGGCAGTTCAAAACTGCCAGCAGCTCCACAAAACCCACAGGGGCGCTATGAGCAGCATTGACTTCATGGCAGTGGGTTCCTTTGGTCTTGTAGGTATAGTCTGATACACGTAGGCTGGCTTATGAAACGTGGCTTTTATTGTTGTTGTTAAATAACTACAGGGATATTTTTATAAAACGTAATAAAATTCTCCAGAAACTGCACAGAAACATTATAGACAATTGTTTTATTGCACGCACACACACAGAATCTCTAAAAGATGTCACTGGCCTTTCAGTCACATGAAAATCTGTGAGAGGTAGGGATTTAGGAGTTAGCAACATACACAGGAGAGATGAAATCACGGGCCTGAATGAAGTGTCCCTGGAGAGACCTTGGGGGTACTCTGATTATAACTGTGTTATAGAAGTAAGCTTGGCAAATAGACCGAGATACCAGACAGGTAGGAGGAAAAGTCAGGAAGAATAGTACGAGTGAAGCCAAAATGGATGCCATCTTTTCTTCTTTTTAAGAAATGGAATCATCAGTGGTTTTAAAATCTGGAAAGTGGCAGCCAGAAATATCCATGAGAAGTCATAGTTGATGGTTGCCAGAATAGTTTCTATTTAGTCATTCAGAAGCTGAATCACAGGGAATGGGGAAAGGAAGGCAGGGAGCTCACATATTCTTCCACTTTTTGGAGAGACCTGACTTTCGGGCACAAGAAGAGATTGCGTGGAAGCTCACACTTGAGGGGGAGTAAAGGAGTTTCCCTGCTGATAGGTGAGGCAGGGCCAAGTTAATATATTTAAGTGTCATCTATCTTAAAATAAGGTTTTTTAAAAATACGTAATTTGGAATGCTTTTTAAACTTTACAGAACATTATACATCCATGGGCATACCAAGTTGGATTTCACAGTCTGGCATACTGCAATTGAAAAAGCAGCAGGTACAGATGGTAATGCATTACAAGATCAGCAGCTCAGCAAAAATGACGTTCCCATTATCGTGAACAGCTGTATAGCATTTGTTACACAGTATGGTAAGTAGCACAGTTTTTAACTCACCCCAGAACTCAGTATCATTCTTACAGTTTCTAAACTGGAGGTACTCTATTGGACCGAATTAAAGTCCTTTACATTTGTAAGTATACTAGTGAAAAATAAAAACGGCACTGTTGAGCAAATCGCCATTCCTTCTCCCAAGGAAACTCAGTCAAACTAGATAATGCATCATTTTATAGTTATAGGTACTGTTTCCTTCTTCCTTTCATGTGTAACATTTTTACGTGACATATTGGAAGAATATACATTACAAAATAAATGTTTAAAATGATAGATTAAAGACTGTATTTTTCAGGGTTATAGACTTAGAAAAAAACTGTAAGTAACTCAGCGTGCTCAGCTCAATGTGCTCAGAGGATTTTTAGAAGTGTTAGTTATAAGATAATTATGTAAATTGCTATTTTTCTGCATTCATTCAGCATAGTATCGATGACAAATTTGTAATATGCTTAATTTTAATATTTTGGCTCATTTACAACAATTTTTTTTCATTTATAACAGTTTCATCAATAATATTTAAGAAAGACAAAACTCTGTTCTCTCCCTGCATATTCACTTTCATTTTAACTTATTATTAGATGGAAATATTGTAGATATAGCTAGTAAAGAAACTTAATCCAGATGTTTATTTTCAACTTATTATCAATCATCTACATTCTCTCTTACATATTAGTACTGCAAAGGGTGGAAATTTCCCAAGTATATTTTTTAATATTGCAGTGCCTTACACCTTCAACTCTGTAGAAAAATTCCATTTATTTAGATTATAGCTGTAGAAAAGTGAGCTGTTTAATCTGCTATTTTGACAGGTGTCTTAGCATTTCTTTACTTTCATCATATTAGAGACTCCTTTGGGTGTTTTTAATTTGCAAGGCAGTTGTAACCCATGCAGGAAAGCTCAGTGCCGTTAGTTCTTTCCTTATTGATAGAGAGCCTGTTGTGTGCCAGCTGCGGGTATCTGTCAGAAGAGATGCAGCAGGAGGGTAAAACATTCCAGACAAAGTCACGATCTTACATTCAAATAGGGGAAGCTTACAAACTGACGTGTTAATAAATAAATAAAACAACCTCAGAGATCAACAATTGCTATGGAGAAAGTAATTTGCAAAAAATCAGTTTATATTTATGTATATTAGTACTTTCAGTTCTGGGAAACACCATGTTTTAAGTGTTTTGTGTGTAACCCAGGTATAAATATCATTACTGTTCAGTTTCATTGTGTTTAATATGCTACTGTGTATCTATTTCGAAATGTGTAGGTGACCATATGATGAACATAACTCTATGAAGTGCCTTTCTGGGATAGTTTATGTTTTTCTGATCGGCTGTGGTCAACTGTTTATTTGGAACAGGTGTGAGAGAAGGGTATCATTTTCATCTTGCAGTGGTTACATACTGGGCTGCGCACCACATGGTCGGCAGTTCAAAGCCACCAGCAGCTCCATGGGAGAAGATGGGCTTCCTACTCTGGTAAACAGTTACACTCTTGGAAAACCCACGAGGCGGTCACTGTGAGTCAGTACTGACCCGATGGCCTTGAGTTTGGTGAGATAGTCACATCATCTTAGGGCTCTCCTGTGTTTTGCAGGTGTTTGTGAATTGTGCATATATTGCATTTGTAATTGGGGATATTTACCTAAGGGAGTTTCATAGTGTCATAGCGTCTTTCTTAAACTGACAAAATAACTTAACTAGCTTTAATGTAGTCAATAGAATATTACTCTCGGAAAATCAGAAAATTCCTTGTGATGGGGAATTTAAAAGGGTTAAGCAGCAATAGATTGTTTTCCACTAAATCCATACATTATACCTTCTTGCATCACTAATACAGGCAAATTAACCTGCATATTTAAGTAATGAAGCCAGTGAAAGGTTTATGTTTTCTTTTAGTTTTGATTTTTTTTTTTTTTATAGAACATAGGATAAAGATCCCTTGTTACCTGCATGCACAAAAGAGAAGATTTTATGTGAGCTCAGTACAAGTGACTAAGTCTCAGCTTTTAGGATAGCAGATTCTATATATGAATCCAGTTCAAAGGGGGGAAAATTTGGAACAGAATATTAATTTCTCATGGACTCTACAATTTCTGGAGCCTTGGGACATAGGGATTTACTATTACTGCGACAAATTATTACTAGGGAAACTTATTTTGAGATAATCCTTATACCTTAAACTAAAAATATCCCCTGACTTTATCTTAAAACCAAAAAATAGTCTAGCTTGATGAGTATAAACTATCTGCATTCCTAAGCTTTATAAACTTTTCAAATTTTATTTACATCAGCTATGTACATTTTTGTTTTAGGTGCATATTTTATGTTCATCATTGGGCATTGTGTACTTTTAAGAACTGTATATAAAAGATCAAATTAAGAATAGCAACTTGAAAGATTAGGTAGGAATTGGGGGAAGACTGAGTGTCTGCTTTGTTATTTTGATGAAGGAAGGGCCAACTCGGCAAAGGAGGGTGAGAGCTCACCCGCTCCCCTCGTAGAACGTCATCTTCTCCTCGCTGGTTAACTTGTAGAAATTATTGAATTGGCATACTTTCTACTGTGTACATCCTTAACAACATCAAAATAATAAAAATCCCAAAACCTGAATGAAATACCACTTCATATGTACTCGAATCAAACCAAACTCACTGCCATCAAGTTGATGCTGACTCCTGACGACCCTGTAAGATAGGACAGAACTGTCCCTGGGGGTAAAGAGACTGCAAGTGGTTACTGGACTCGAAAGACCCATCTTTCTTTCGTGTATGGCTGGTCGTCTCAAATTTCAGACCTTGGGCATCTCAGCCCACTGAATAACCACTATGCCACCCACTAGTTTAGCGGTGATCAGAAGAGTGAACAAGTGTTAGAGATGACATAGATAAATTTGAACCCTCAGGAACGTAAAATATAAAGTTTTGTAGCCCTGTGGAAAAAACTCGGTGGTTGTTATTGAGTGCCATTGAGTTAGTGCCAACCCATAGTAACTCAATACACTAAGGAAGGAAACACTGCCTGGTCCTGCACCATCCTCACAATTGTTCTATGCTTGAGACCCTTGTTCTAGCCACCGTGTCAATCCACCTCATCGATGACCTTTTTTGCTGCCCCTCCATGGTAGTAAGCATGATATCTTTCTCCAGAGACCGTTCTCTTGGAATAACAGGTCCAAAGTATGTAAAATGAACTTTCCCCATCCTTGCCTCTAAGGAGCACTCTGGCCTTACATATTCCAAGCCAGATTGGTGAGTCCTTTTAGAGAACCATAGTACTTTCAATATTTTTCTCGAACTCCACAATTCAACAGCTTCACATTTTCTAAAAAAGTTAAGACCCAACAATATAACTCCACCTAAAAGTCAGTGGCTAAAAGATTTGCACACCAATACCGTTGCAATTCACAGTAGCCAAAACCTAGAAATAACCCAAGGGCCCGTAAACATACAATGGAATATCATTCAGTCGTACAACATTAAGTTCTGATGCTGATAGGTAGGTTTATTGTGTCAAGGGGTGGTCTGTGGTAGTTACATAATTTGGTGTCAATTTGAGGATGAAGAGTGAAGGGGTAGAGTATAGCCTGTCAATCATTATATAGCCAATGAGGTCTCTGTCTGGGCATGGCCTTCTCCTGAGGATTCTGGGAACTCCTGTATTCCTCCTTGGAGGTGGAAGACACACACACTCTGTGCTCACTCCCTTGGAGACTCTCTCTTGACTCACTCCCTGAGAGACATCCCTCAGGAGAAGCCACATGGACCTACCCTGATGCAGCCAGTGCCCTGAGCTGGAGGAATTATGTGGAGACCCTTACCAACATTGAGATGCTTATTACAATGCCACTGGATCCACAGGACTTCCTGTGATCTTCCTGCATTTGGCATCACTGCATGCGTTTCATGAGTCTGAAGATGACTTTATACATTGGTAGAGGATCTACTGGCTAATATCAGACTTACGGACTTGATCCGGACTAGGCTGGGGTGTTTTCTCAATATTCAACTGCTCCTGTATATAAAACTCTTTCTTATACATATATGAGTCTCCCTGAATTTGTTTCTCTAGTTTACTCGGACTAACAAAGATACACAGTACAAAATGACTAAACCAAAAACATGTTATTTTAAACAAGTCAAACAAATATTATATGATCCTACTTTTTGAAATATATATAATAAGCAAATGCATACACAAAAGTTTATAAGTAGTTACTCTGGGCTGGGGCAATGGAAATGGTGAATTCTTGTTAAAAGGATTCTGCGTTTCTTTTTCAGGTGGTGAAAATTTTTAAAGTAGCTATTTGTAGACAATATGATGTTATATATTGAGAATCCTAAGATGGCCACAATAGGATTGCTGGAAACAATAGAGGAGTTTAGTACAGTAGCAGATGCAAGATTAACAAGCAGATATCAATTGGATCCCTATATACCAGAAATGAGAATACCAAAAAAGATAACAAGAAAGCAATACCATTCACAATAGGCACACTAAAGCTGAAATACCCAGGACTAAACATAACCGAAATAACAAAAATCCTGTACAAAGAAGACGGCAGAACATTCTGAAAAGACCAAAAGGAATCTAAACAAACAATCCATGTTTGTGGATCAGGCTCAATTTTGTGAAAATGTCAATTCTACCTAAAACAAATCTACAAATTCGATGTAATCCTAATAAAAATTCTAGCATCATTCTTTAAAGAAATGGAAACCATAATTACCAACTTCATATGGAGCGGGAAGTAGCCCAGGATAGGCAAAAAACTCCTTAAAAAAGAACAAAAGTAGGTGGTCTTGCACCACCTGACCTCAAAACCAGCAATACAGCACAGTTGTCAAAACAGTCTGGTACTGGTATAATGATAGATACTGGACCAATGGATCAGGACAGACAACCCAGAAATAAAAACATCTGCCTACAGACAACTGGTTTATCGACAAAGGCTCAATAAGCATTAAATGGGAAGCAGATGCCCTCT